TTTTTTTTTTTTTTTTTTTTTTTTTTTTTTTTTCAAACAAACAAACAAATAATAAATAAATAAATGCCTTTGAAATCCATGACTTCAAGACCTTTACATTTTTATGGTTTAAATTAATACGTGGCCCATATACTTACAGGCTGCAATTTATTATGAATGTATATAAGAACCTGCAAAACCCGTACACATTCATTTTTTTAAAGTACACTACATAATATGAGCTCATTAAAACTGCATGTATAATAATTAACTATAGAAGAAGTTTTAGATTTAGACTTAACCTGCAACACAGCTAATCCGAGACATGTCGAACTAGAGTTATGCAATTCAGCTTCCAATTTTGCCAACACAACTTTTCACTGTGGGAATATAATGCTTGTTCTTGAATAATTCTTTCTGAGAGGAGCTTAGAGAACAAAACCACAGCAAGGCAGAGTTTATTCAAATTCCTGTGCTGTGAATATATTACTCTGTGATCCTTTAATAAGATACATAATGCAGACTAATATTATACTATGCCGTATGATTCTTGTAATGCTATTACTGAGCCCAGGAGGGCAGAGCAGAGACCTGTTTATACAGGATTAAGACACATTAACATCCATAATGCTCGTGTATGCTCTGCAGTTTGTTTAATCCACACATTAACATTAAGCTGACCTGGGCACAGTGGACAGGTACGTCACGAATCGTCTCAGGTCCTCTTGTTTTATTCGATCATGGTTACTCCTGGCAGGAAAGGTCAGGATGGGGCCACCTCTCTTATCACGACCTCCTGCATACAAAAAAAAATAAAAAATAGTTCAACATTGCATTGTATATACACAGTCAGAATTCTGGGTTCTGGAAGTAAAAACGATGAATCACCGTGTTATTTATGGTTATAATGAGATTCCCAGAAGTCACTGAGTGCATATATTTTCATTTAAATAGATTTGTTTCTTCTTATTTTTGTTATCAGAAATGTACATTTACAGAGATGAGATGAGATGGGATGAAAAATGATAATTCAACATGTTTGCGTTCTCTCGTTCTCTTCCTCTGACAAACTTAAATAAGTTTTAGAAGGTAGCATAATAAGAGTTTTCTATGGCAAGCTTTACTATTACATCCCTATTACTATTGCTCATATTTAGGCTTACTATACTTTCATACATTACTGCGTGTGCTACAGAAATGAATAACACCTCTAATCAAGTGGGTTTTGAGGAAAAGCATGGAGAGATGAGATGAGATCATTTGGAGTAGCTATAGGAAATGGTGGGGGGAAAGGGGGGCTAGAGAACAGGATCCATGATAAAAATGTGTATGAGAGACGAAGGACGGAGGCAAAAAACAGATAAAGATTGTGCTGACAGATCAACACTGACACCTCTAGAGAATCATCCCTGATTTCTTTAGAAATAAAGTGTCTTGAACACCTTGATTTTGAGACTGATTTCATTCATACACAGGTAAGATAGAACTCACATAAAACTCATTTTGGCGGTTTCACATCATTAAGTATGAAGCATTCACATTCTACTGTAGACGGACAGACAGTGTCTATATTAGGTATTTGATGGCTGCTTCATCTCACATCTTACAAGATTAACTAGCACACAAATCACTGTGCCTCAAATCGAATATTTTGACTTCTGGATGGCATGCTTGAATGAGCTCACTAAATTCAGCCAGCTGTTAACACACAAAAGCATGTGAAACAGCCACAGGTTAAACTCTGTGATATTTCATAGAAGTCAGGAGAGTCCCATCAGATCAGGATCAGTTAAGAACAGATCTGGATGTACTGTAGCTGGATGTACCACCAACACCAGAGCTAAATGAGGAAGGCCCAGTGTCAACCATCATTCATTTTCAAAAATGTGTGAGTGAGTGAGTGAGTGAGTGAGTGAGTGAGTGAGTGAGTGAGTAAATAACAACAGAATGAAAATCAGACGCTTTTTGTCACTCATGCTCAAAACATCTCACACTCACCTGATACAAACGCTATTTTTTCTCTCAGCACAGGAAGGACATCAGACACTTTAATTCCTTCACTTCTGAAAGACCCTGTGAATGAAAGAGGAGGAAAAGTGAGATTATTTTCATTGCATTTGCACAATCTTATACAGAAAATACACACAAAGTCCACATAGCTACGACATAAAGGTTTCACAAAAAATACTTTAAAAAAAATAATTTATATTAAAACTCTTCAAATGTATTGACTTTCTAATAATGCAATACAGTGAAGGATAACCAATTTGGTGGTCTCCCAGTGGTTTGCATCATGGACATTTTAGAATTATGTGATTTTGATGTGATAAAAAATTGTCTTGCATTACATAATGAAATTGGATGAGATCAATGCCAATTGAGTGCTGCCGTTTTTGTTTTTTTTCTTGTGAATTGGAATGTGTGCACAGGATTGGGGGTGATTGGAGAACCCTAGGGATATGCTTGATGCACCCTTCAAAGCATGCAATGAAGAACGCAAAACGTAGGCTGCCTTTCGATTGAGAAGCAACCATAAACTGTAGTTCTGTCAGGACCACTATCGTCATACCGGTTCATACCGAATACCGGTGTTTATTTTTGTTATGATATGAATTTTTAAAATACTGCAATACGGTGTATGTCGCTTAAACACCGTTCGGAACGCGAAACTGTGTGTATGTGTCTGTTTTCTAAAAGCTTTTTTTTCTCTCTCTCTCAGATTTTAAGAGTAACACTAATAGACATGGACTAAAAGCCACACATCTCCAATTCTTACTTAATGTGCTCTTTAACATCTTTTTCTTGGCTCATTATTTAACCAAATACCTGAATTGAAGGCATTTTCCACACAAAACTGCATTGAAATTGCAAAATAACCCTCTTTTATTTAAAACGCACATGACAGTTACAGTTTGAAATGTTTACTTTGCTGCATACTGCTTCATACACTACCTTAACACTACTTTAGTACATGGCTCCTAACTGCTGAGAAAATGCTTGTTAAATCAGGTGGGAGTCATTAGGAAAGAAATCTGCACTCTCTGTACCTCTAATAAGAGGGTGAGTGGTATTTGAGAGGTGGAATGAAAGAGTAAATTAGAAAATGAGGAGAAACACAGGAGGCACAGAGTGAGGGATGGACTGAGAGATGAGGAGCAGTAATGGGGCAGAAATGAGGGATTGGATTACAGAAAGACTAAAGCTCAGACAGAGAGCTCAGGCCACTCTATCTCCAGTCTCATTAATATGAGAGGCAGCATCATATCAAAGAGTGGCCCGTCTGTCTGCGCTCAGCTCACTCAAACACCTGCATTAGTGCTCAATCTGTCTGTCCTCCTTGAAGGCGACTGGAGAATTTATGAAGGGCAGAGGGGAAGTGCACTTCCCTGTACCTCTCGCTCTCTCAGAGCAAGACATTGATATTTTCGCAGCACCTCAGTAGTATGAATGTTTCGAGGAGCATCAATAACTTCTCACCTTCTCACCTCATTCTGTGGTGTTAATGAAGCTGTCAGTTTGCCACTTATACTGTATTCATCTTCTGCTCTATACAGTACGTACAGGTCCAACATAACTTAAGCTCTTAAGTTAAGATCGACAACATGTTTTTTGTGGTAAAATGTCCATTATCACAAAAATAACTATGACTTGACCTTTATTTTTAGCATCTTTACAGTAATGCACTTACAATGGAAGTCTATGGACCCAGTGCAAAAGAGGATTTTAAAAGCAGAAACATGCTGCTAGTATTTTGTATAAATTGTATTAGTACAGATGTGCTATTTGAGCTTTAAATTTGCCTAAATTGTCCTTTTGAGGTGGGAATACCTTTCAAGTATACTGATACTGATAATTCCTGTGGTTGGATTTTTCTCTGTGTAAGCAGAACTTTGTAATATGATCACAGCATTGGCATTGACATATTATGACTTTTTTATATAACTTTGGCTATACTTTTCAAATACTATATGTTCAACCTTTATGTGGTGATTGACATTATGTGACAAATGCTGTCAATAAAGCTTAACTAAAAGTCTTTAATTCTTATCAGGAGGTCTGGGGAATCATTTCCCCCCATGTGCCTGCATGGCATTTTAAGTGTATTTTAGTTTTATTTTTTTTACATATGTTTTCAAGACCATGTCACATTGTAACCCATTTCACAGTTTTACCTCTAAACCACATTCTCCATTGCATTCAAGCAATTCACAGACAGTTTATGAATCGTTTCAAACAAATCTGGGTTAAAAAAAATGGGGGAAATACAAAAATGTGTTTGCAAATCTGACAGCACTGTGACCACCACCACAATATGACACAAGCCAGTTCAGCACTACGTCAAGCATCACATCTTTGCCAAGGAGCCGTGAATAAGTGTTTCAACGCATCACACATACCAATCACTTTACTCGACAACAAAGAAAACAATTCAACAAATATCTGACAAGTAAAAGAGTTGATTTGTCTTTTATGTAGTTCTTCCTGACATCGATGGCAATCACAGCTTCTTCATTCCCTTTTCACTTTAGTCTCTAGTACACTAATGCAAGACCCTACTGTGTGCAATAGCTCAGACCCTGTAGAAGTTTTAAAGATTTTATTATATAAAAAGTGAATCAAGTGAATGTGACATCATCTGGCTTTGTGTCTTGAATAGGGCCTAATTTTCAGCTATTTAACAGACAGCATAGTTTTATCCTTTGTTAAGAGACAGCTGGTAAGTGCTGAATGAATGTTAGCGAGCTGCATCAAGCATTCACTGACATCAGTGTTTTCAACATATTGAGCATGTATCAGGAGGAAAGAGCATTTCTTCAGGGTCGTCTGCAGAACTGAAGGCAACACAATCGAATGAGCTTTGTCACAAAATAAACTAGAATTTGCATTTTATGCTCAACATTATAAACAGACGGCAGCTCTGAAGGATTTTAATGACACTGAAAAAGAATATGGAGAAGAAACCATTTTTACTCAGCATTTGCTATTAAATTTTACAATTAATTACAAATAAATGGCATTGAATTTAAATTTTGAAACAGACTGAAATACATAGTATTTTAGTGTAAAATGTACTCCAATAATCTTTGTTTTATACAGTATACAACTTTTGTCAGGTACACTGTATTGTGTACATGTATTGTTGGGAAGATATGGGATGTTGGGTGACTTTTTTTTTTTACATCTTTGGACTTTGTCAGTGTATATTTGTGCACCAGCAGCATGTATGCATTATTTTCTATTTTCATTATTTTCAGTAGCAAAACTCAAAATTTGCTCTGCAACAGCAGTGCAAGCAGATCTAGTGCCCAATGACCAAACCAACTTGAGACTTGTCCTCACTGGAATCTAGTTATTTGTTACTATGAGATAATAAGCCAAGAAATGACAGCAAACTTCTCATAAGCACACTGTAAAAAAAATTCAGTAAAATTTACGTTAAAAAAACGGCAGCTGTGGTTGCCGGAATTTTACTGTTAAAAAGATACGGTAGCAACGTTTTAGGTTTTACGGTTTTAACTTAAAGTTACAGTTAAATACCGTAATTTAATTAACTGGTATAATGTTAATATACCAACCTATTGAAGTACTGAAATCTGTTTTGTACCTTTGTAATACACTGATAACCACCAAATGCAGGAGGTGATGAGAAAGTCACATGATCACAAGCAGCTTTTAAATAATAACATATATAGAAGCTGCACAGCGTCATTCACACAAATACTAAACACCATCATGATAACACACATGAAACTGAAATAATGCAATAAACATTAATTGAACAACATTAGATGTAACACACAACCCTAATATACAAAACTGATAGAAAAAACTAAGAACAAACATTGGAAACAAGGAATTCTGGGACTGTCAATTTATGGTTATTCACTGTAAATTATACAGTCTTTTTCACTTA